AATGTCTCATAACTAAGCTTAAGGGTCTTATTTATGTTATTATAGGCCCACATCCTAATAAAACTCTACTTCCAGTTATTTAATACAATTAGAATAATTAATAAGATATTTAAATAAAATACATGTTCTATTCCTAAATAAAACATGACAAGCTTAAATTCTTAATACAAGTAAAAAAAGAATTCTATTATACTTATAATTCCTGAATAATAATAATCTAATAATATACTCCTATATCATTCTCCCTAGATTGGAGAAAAGTCATCTTTAAGATCCATATCTTCATCATGTTCTCCATAATAAGGTGAGAGATCGGCTACATTGAAAGTTGCAGAAACTTCATAATTTTCAAGAAGTTCAATCTTATAAGCATTCTCATTAATACGTTCCAAAACTCGGAATGGTCCATCAGCTCGAGGAGATAGTTTTGCACGAGACTTAGGAAAACGTTCTTTCCTTAAATGAATCCACATTAAGTCTCCTTTTGGAAACTAGCTGGGTTTTTGTGTTTGTTGGCTTGCTTTTGCTATCTATTAGTTTGATGAATAGTCTTTCCTCGAACTTCTTCATGAAGCTTCTTGATTTGTTTAACACATTCTTCAGCATCAGCACTAAATTCACGAGTCGTTGGTAATTCAGGAAGGTCTAAAGGACTAAAAGGGCGTTTTCCATACTCTACTTCAAATAGACATTTCCCAAGTGAATTATTATAAGAAAATTCTACTTGCGCTAATACAAGATCCCATTGACGAATGTGTTTACCCACAAAGCTTTGTAATAAATTTTCCAAACTTTTGTTGACCACTTCTGTTTGACCATCTGTTTGAGGGTGACTTGCTGAATTAAATTACAAGTGAGTTCTCATTTTCCTTTAGAGAATTCGCTAGAAATGACTAATGAACTTCATATCTCGATCTGAAGTAATGGTTTTTGAAATTCCATGAAGACGCACTATTTCTTTAAAGTACAAATCAGCTATGCGAGAAGCATTATCAGTTTTATGGCATAGCACAAAATGAACCATTTTGAAAAATCTATCAACGACTACCATTACAGAGTCTTTTTGCTTTTGAGTGCTTGGTAAATCCAAAACAAAATCCATACTCACATCCACCCAAGGAGCTTCAGGAATGGGTAATGGTTTATACATACTAGTGTTTTGATTTTCGAGTTTGGCAATATGGTAAATACGACACCTTTGAATATGTTAGAGGATATCTCATTCCAGCTTGGGTCAATAAAACTTTTCTTTCACAAGAGCCAATATTTTGTCTCTCCCAAAATGTCTAGCTAATCCTCCATTATGAGCTTCCCAAACAATAGATTGGCGTAAAGAACATTGAGGAATGCATAATTGGTTACCTTTGAAAAGATATCCCTCTTGTTGATGAAATTATCAATAAGGATGTTGGGAACTAGATTTTCGTATCTCACCAAATTCGGGATCTTTCTCATACAATTCTTTTACAACTTCAAAACCAACAACTTTCAATTGTAAGGTAGAGAGGAGAGTAAGGCGACAACTTCAAGCATCAACTACTTTGTTTTGCACACCTAATTTGTGCTTGAGGAGAATTGGAAAGGTTTGAAGAAACTCACTCTAAGTTGCATGTCGCCGATTAAGCTTGTGTTGGGAGTTAAGGTGTTTAAGGGCTTCATGATAATACAAGATGAATTCTTTTGATAACAAATAATGGCTCTAATGATCCAAGGCTCGAATAACAGCATAAAACTCCTTATCATATGTTGAGTATTTCAATCTTGCATCATTGAGTTTCTCACTAAAAAAGGTAATTGGTCTTCCTTATTGGGAAAGAACAACACTAATACTAACATTAGAGGCATCACAATCAACTTCAAACACCAAATCAAAGTTCGTAAATGTAAGCACGGGAGCTTTAGTAATCCTTTCTTTCAATTCCTCGAAGCTATGTTGGGCCTTGATACTCCATATAAAACTATCTTGCTTGAGGCATTAAGTAAGTGGAGCAGCAATAGAACTGAAGTTTTTGATGAAACGACGATAAAAGGAGGTTAATCCATGGAAGCTTCGAACATCATGAAGTGACTTTAGAACTGGCCAATTGATAATAGCATTAACTTTGCTTTGATCCACTTCAATCTCTTGGTTTGAAACAACATATCCCAGGAAGATAATTTTATTGGTCATAAATTCACACTTCTTTAAGTTAGCAAAAAGCTTTTGCTCTCGAAGTATTTCAAATATCTACCGTAAATGTTCTAAATATTTTTTCTGACTTATACTATATACCAAAATATCATCAAAATAAACCATAACAAACTTCTCAATAAAAGGACGAAATACCTGGTTCATTAGGCGCATAAAGGTGCTGGGTGCATTAGAGAAGCCAAATGGCATAACTGTCCATTCATATAGCCCATCACGAGTTTTAAATGCAGTTTTTCATTCATCTCCAAGTTGCATTCAAATTTGATGATAACCACTACATAGATCGATCTTGAAAAAGATAATAGCTCCATGCAGTTGATCCAACAAATCATCAAGTCTAGGACTGGGAAAATGATACTTGAAGGTATTTTGATCACGGCACGATTATCAATGCACATACGTCATGTTCTATCTTTTTTTGGAACTAATAAAACAGGAACAGCACAGAGGCTAACGCTTTCTCTTACCAGGCCTTTCTTCAAAAGTTGTTTAACTTGATGTTATAACTCTTTATGCTCTTGCGGACTCATGCGATAAGCAGGCTTGTTTGAAATTACAGAACCAGGGATGAAATCAATGGCATGCTGAATATCTCACGTTGGTGGCAATCCATGGGGTATCTCATCAAGTACAAGATCACAAAACTCTTCAATTATGGATTTGACATCTTTGGATAAAGTTGAAGATACTTTATTCTCCTCACAGACTAATAAGAGGTATAAAAGGCTTGACTCACGATAAGTTTTGTTTAAACTAGACACAGTGATGAGTGCTTTATCTTTTTCTTGTTTCTTTGGGTAGTCTTCTGGCTTTGATGGAGTTAACATAATTTTTACTCCATCCCTGATGAAAGAATAAGTATTCTTGTATCCATCCTGGTGAGCTCGATGATCATATTACCATGGGCGTCCTAACAACATTTGGCATGCGTCCATTGGGATAACATCACACCAGACTTCATCTTTATTCTTATTTCCAATAGAGAATTGAACACAACAACGCTTTGTTACCTTAATTTCGTTACCTTTTTTCAGCCATTGTAACTTGTAAGGATGAGGATGTACTTCAGTTAGAAGTTTCAACTTTTCTATCATGTAGTTGGCAATAACATTCTCACAATTTCCACTATTAATAATGACATTACAAACCTTCTCGTGAGATGTGCACCTTGTATAGAATATGTTATGACGAAACCAATTTTCATCTTCTGTCATCATAACAGTGCTAAGGTTACGACGAACAATAAAAGCTTCTCCATGGTCAACAGAAATTTCTTTTATTCCTTCGTTGTTGAATATTTCTAGCTCATCTTTTATTTCGTCATCATATTCATCATAAATAGGTTCTAATTTTTCCCGATCCACACAATCTTCTTCTTCTACTAAGGCAATACTTCGTCGATTCGAACAATCAGAAGCAATATGCCCAAATCCTTGGCATTTGAAGC